ATACCCTAAGGAAATTCCTCTTCACCTTCCTAAATATGCCCTCCTTCCCATTTAGCTCAGTTCTGTCCTTAATGGAACCAGATATTTAACTAAGTTCCAACACACTCATTGGTAGAGTGTGAAGTCCCCCTTTTCCCCTGTGCCTCCCAAGAGTAACTATGGGCCAAATCCTGAGCTGGGGTGAAATAGAGGAGAGCGAATGCTGAGGACCTAGCCCCTCACTTCCAACTGGGAAGTTAACCCAACAGAAGAGCAAGGCACTTGTTTTTCCAGAGGCTCACAGTCAGCTTGTTTCTTGTCTTAATCAATCAAAGGGGGCTTCTCTCACACTCCCTGAAGAAGAACGTCCCTGATTAAGAGCTCAGAGCCAGCAGGGGTGAGTTAGATCCACAGGATTGTCACTCTGTGTGAGTAGCCTGAGATCCAGGCTCCTTGGCAGACACAGGGTCAGAATTACATGCCTGAAATTCACGTATTAAGATTTCTTGGGGAGAAGCTTTTGGTACGGAGATTGCTACAGTTTGGTTTCCAACCACTTGAGTCCCGTCAGACCAGTTCCACTGTGCACAAATCTGTGGCCATCTCCTGTGGACTTGGTATGTCCTAAGGGCAGTTTTATATTTATTTCCAGAGAAGTTCTATAAGGATGAATAGAAAGAGATTATACTTGCATCAAGTCTCATATCATTCCTTGCAGAGTATATCAGTCCCAAGTCCACCCAGGGCATGGGCTTTGTAGGTATTTTTTCCTATGTGATTTTTACTGAGAATCCAAACTTTATTATCAATTGTTGTGATGCCCTGGGGAATCTGCAAAATTGGTTATCTCTAATGGCAAAGAAAATCTTTTTCTGTTGAATGACTAAAGTCCCCTGCCTTCGCCATAGCAGAATTCTAGGGTTATTACCATGGATGGACAAATCAAAATTATAGAAGGAGAAACTACAGAATAAATGGGAACTCGTTCCTGCTATCTGAGAGTGAGATTTTCTACTTCCTTCATTAAAAGAATGGGCAACAATTTGTACATGTCTAAATACTATAAAGCAGCACACTCAAGATAAATCTCCCCTCTGGGACAAGGGGAATATACATGTTCTGCAGAAAGGCTAGGCAAGAGCTCATGCTGATTTTATTGTTATTTTTCTGCCCTACCTATATATGTGCCTTGCTTTCCTCAATAAAAGCTGGTTTAGAATGCATTAAAGAAAAAAAATCAACATTTTGAAGAAACAGCTGCAAAGGAAAGAAAGTTCAGTGTACAAAGTAGTCTTAAAAATGGAAATCTGAAGCATTTTCAATCCAAAGTTGGATGTTTAAATTCCTTGTCTGCTTTTCAGAAGTTTTTATCTAAGAGAAAAGTTTATAGATCAAGATAACCCTGCTTCTCTCTGCATATTGCTCATAGATCATGAGTTCCTGAGAGAAAGGAAAATTGCAACCTTTATTTGAAATTATCATTTTACAGACACTATCCCTTAACTATTGAGAAAAAAAAGCAAAGTTTGCGGGAATCATAAAATAATTCTGCTTGAAATTTGTGCTGGTTTTCTTTATCTGATCCAACAGCTTAAAACACAAGTTAATTTTCTCCTGTGATTTAATGAAAAGAATTGGGAGCAGGTGAGGAGGGCAATATAGAACAACAGAAATTATTTTTTATATATATGTGGCCACTTCCCTCCTCTGACCATGGATTAAATTCTACCATTTAATTGACCATACAACCACTGTATTTCTAGATGATCAAAATGTCAGGGTTGCACTGAGGAACTAAAAACCCCCAAATAAAGATAACAAAATAAAGAGAAATGAAGGAAAAAAAGAGTAAATTTCCAAATGTGATTGAGTTTCCACCCAGTCTTCTATCCTGTGGGAATAATGTAACAAACTCTAATGCAGCAATTTGTTTCTAAGTGGTTTTTTTGTATACTTCAGCTGTGGGACTTCCTTTAGTTTCTAGCCTCCCATGTTTTCTAATAACCTTGGGGAGTTCATACATGAGCATGAAACTCAGATCCAAAGTGAAATTCTACCCATTTTCTGTATTTACAATGATGACAGTAAAGATCTAAATACAGCTTTATAATTTTCTAAAGAGCTGAACTAGCAGCACAGTAGCCTGAGTAGGTGGTAAGGTATCAAACAAATATTTTAATGGGAGATTAGATAAGGCTCTTAAGGCATATTAAACTGAGGAGAGGAGTGCTGTCATTGGTTAAAGTTGTAACTGAGATGGAATTATCAGAGGCTTGTTATTATTTGATATGTGTAAATATAGTGGGACAGCTGCTTGGCAGGGTTCTTTGCTTTCAGATTCAATAAAACCATGATAGAGAACTCCTGCTATAGATATTAATTGGCTTTGAGATAATTTCCTAATATCGGATGCAATGAAAATCTCTTGTCCTAGATTTGCTTTTCACCTGGAGACAGAGAGTTGCAGTGAGGGAAGCAGTGTACCCCGGCCGGGGCCCTGCACAGGCTGGGAAGGGGGCTGAGGAACTTTGTGGGTCTCCTCTCTCTACCTGCTGAGGTTTGATTCCGTGTGATACTGTCCTGGAGTTTGAAGGTGGAGGGAAAGGGGTTTACGTAACTAAAAACCTTGTGAGCTTTCTCAGAGAAGAGGAATGACTTCTTTTCATATGTGTGATTTTAAAAAGTCACCAAAGTCTTGCAGACTGGCTGGGTAACATCCACTGTGGATGCAGATAGCTAATTATTTAGGATTACAGTCTGCTTTCCTTTACAATTTACAATATGTAAATTTAGTAGAAATAAATAAATATTTTTTGTAAAAAATCACACTACAGAGAAAACAAATGAGAGATTCACTTTGTAGTGACTCCAATTTGCAGCAGAGATGATTCTAGTGGCATGGTCAATATTGCACTTCATCTGTGAAACTTGTGGCTTAATTGCTCTCTATTGTCACTGGAGATATACAGAATGGAATTAGCTAATTTTTCTTAGCTAAATCATAAGAGTAAAGATAAAGCACACAGATTCTGTCTCCATTATTATCTTTCCTTCCCTCTCAGCAATAAATAAGAAAAATTTCAGCTAGCCTCCAGCCACATGACAGTCCCAGCTCCCTTCTCCTGAACTCGCAGCTGCAAGAGTTAAATGTTGGGGTGTCAAGTGCACAAAATCCAAATGAATCCTTTACTTGTCTAAGCCCTACAAACCTGCCCAGCAGCATGCCTGCCTGTTGATCAGAGAGCGCAAGGGAAATGCCTTCTGTCTCTCTGACTGCTTAAAAATGTTTAGAATATCCTGCTGGGAAATTGCTACTGTATCATTTGCTCAGCTGCAGATGGTGAATTGGCATATCCTGAACTTGGCCTTTTTGTGAACTTGAGGTTTATCCTTGGAGGAACAGATCCTCTGCTTCAATACAGTCATGTCAATTGGCTCCTGATAAACAGGCTGGTTTGCTGTAAACCCTGAATTTGTAGATTATTATCCTCCCCCTAAAGCCACCCTTGCAACTGCTCAGATGTTCCTAATCCAAGGTGACGCCAGCAAGGGTTTGAAGCAAATACCTCTTGCACACTGTGTATTTGGGTTTTCCTACACACATAGGAAGCAATGCCTATGGGATGTATCTCTTGTTTTGGCCACAAAAGCAAGATAAGAAAGGACTTGCAATTTTCTAGTTCTTGCCTACAAAGGGGCATTTTACCAGAATTTTCTCACAGCTGCTACAAGGGGCTCAGATTCACACTGACACCATCCTGAGTGTGGTCCCCATAGCAAAGCACTTAAGGTCAAGGCAAAGGACAGGAGGGAAACCAGATGGAAAAATAACTTGTTCATGCTGCTACCCAGTTGCGTTAGGATGGGGACCCATGGAGCTTACACAGTCTGATTAGCCCCAGGTTCATGGCCCTGTGTGATGCAGGTCACCCGATGCTCTAATCACTCAGTTACAGATGCCGCCTCTCCAAGTCCCAGGAAATATTTAATTAGCTGTACAATACAGAAGCAGCTTCCAAAGAAAAATTCCTCTGCAAAACAACCATCGACTTCGTGCTAAAGTACCCATGAGCTGGAGCACAGCCGGGTCCGATTCCCAAGCCTGGAACAAAGGGAAAGGATCTCCTGCTCTTGCACAGCCCACTCCCATTTTGAATCTTTCCAAACCCGAGCTTTCATCATTATGGACACATTTTCACCAAAAACCCTGACAAAAAACAAATAAACAACCAAATTAAAAAACCACAAACAAACAAACAAAACCACAACAGAAAAAAAAAAAATAGTTAGACTTGTCAGAGTGAAGCATTGCGAACTCATTCTCTCAACTCTTTCTAAATTGTAACAGCAAAGATCCATTTTCTTGTGATTTTGACCAAACTACAGTAATGAGACCTCCTTTTTGTGGTGTACCTTGGAGACAATCTCCGTAAGGGCAGTTCTAGTGTAGGTAAAACAGACTCAACTAACTCCAGGAGCAGTTTTCTGGGGCAGGGCAACATTCTCTCTCAATCTGTCATGTGACTGATGTCTGGGCACCAGTCTTGCCTCCCTGTTTGCCCCTGTGTCTATGGCAGGGCTGCACTTGGTCCTGCAGCTTGGGATAGCAGTGCCTGCTTCAGCCTGTGAATGCTTCCACACTGTCTATGCTGCATTTGTAGCACAGAAGGAAGGTACCTTTCTCTCCCTTACCAGGAAGATACCCGTGGCTCATTTGAGGCAGAACATCATCTCGAGGAGAAGTTGAAAAGCCCAGTTTCTATCAGTGCATGCTCCATCATTTTCCCTGATCACTCACTCACCGCAAGGTCTCAATCCACTCATGACACCTCTCTGGCCTCAGTATCCTCCCCAGGGGATAACAGCACTCACCCACTTCTCTGGGGTGCCAGCAGGGGAGATGCTCCAGAGACAGTGATGAGAGTTATTTTGCAAACCTAGAGAGGCCGGAATTAGGTGTTTGTAGGAGAGATTTCTCTTTTCTCACTCCCTTTCTAACTAGAGATATTTGGAGGCTCTTGGGCCTTTTCAACATGTCAATCCTTTCTGCCATGACATGGCTAAGCAGGATTGACCCAGACATTCTCCAGATTCCATAAGGTGGTCACTGGACCACATGGAGTCCTAATGCTGACTGACCATTTCAACTGGAAGTCTTTCCTGCTGGAAAAAGACTCAGACTGGACAGCATTGGTTCAGCAAGTTCCCGGGGACAGTGTTGGAGACCAGACACACTGCCTAGCCCTTGGAGGTTATCCCTCCACACCTTCACTGGGAACACTAGAAAGTTTAATTTTGGCTAAGCACCCCCATCCCAAACCCTCAGGGCTCCCTGCAGTGTCCAACAGGATGAGGAAGACATGTATACTTGTGTTCAGCCATCACTATAACCTGACCAAGAGGAGAGTGTTGGCAGTCAGAGCTGTCCCTGCAGGAAACAAGGGACTGTGATCTGGAGGGATGCAGCTGGGACACACTGCAAAGGAGCAGCAGTGTGACCTCCTCCTTCCCTCAGCATGGTCCAGCAGGGAGAACGGTGCTGGCACTTGTTCCAGCTCCTGGGACTGGGGGACATGCTACTCCGAGTTAAGCTGAGCAGCAGTTCAGTGAGGTAAAAAGCAATGCTGGTGGAAAAGAAAAATATTAAAATAATGGGGGGATTGCTACAAAGGGTAGCTGAGCAGAGGAAAGCAAAAGGGGGGAGCAGTGAGAGGGCTGCAGCCCAGTACAGCCTGGTTGAGGGGAGGAGCGTGGGGGGAAGGAGATTGCACCATCCTGTCTCTCAGGGATCAGCAAGGGGAGATGAAGCAAAGACCAAAGGTGCCTGCAGCCAGGAGACTTCAGGCAGACTTCGGGGGAGTGAGAGAAGAGCTCTGGGATGCCTGGCATTCCCCAGGCCCCTCCACCATCACCCCCTCCCTGCTGACACTGTCTCTGTCTTCCAGGTCAGTGAATAATTTCCTGATGACGGGCCCCAAGGTAAGAGAAATCCCTTTGATCTCTGTCCCTGATTCCACTAAACCCAGGGAGGGAGGGAGACAGAGAGACAGGGGCTCCCCTCCTTACCCCTTCTCTCCACCCAGCCTTGGCCAGAACTCCTCTCACCCTCAGATTTCCAGCAACAAGGCAGAGAAAGGCCAGGAAAGACTTGCTACAACTGCTTGAACTACATCAGCCCTGAGTAATACTGATCTGGGGTTCTTTTAAGCTGGTTGGGGCCAGATTCTGGAGATTTGTCTATTGACACCAGCTGAAGCTCTCAGCTGTCATCTATTGCTTCCTGATGATCAGGTTGGCATTAGGACCCACACTGATCCAGCTGGAAAGTACTTTCTGTAGGCCCTGTAAAACATACTTCCTCAAGGAGCACCACTATAATTGACAGGACTTGATTCAGTATTTTTGACCCCCTACATCCTTGCTCTTCTCTTTCAAAGGCTTTTTTTTCCTAAATAGAACCAGTTGTAAAATTTACCCAGTTTCTGTTCTGGCTCTTCTCCAGGAACACCTCCAGGTCCATCTAGCTCTTTCTATGACTCTCAGTGCACTGGTAGAGCAACCTTGCCCCACAGCACTGGCTGTCTCCTTGGGGCTGTGGTGAAGAAGGAGACAGGCTGAGGCAACCTGCTGGCCTGGAGATTTCTGATCTCTGAGCAGAAGGTTTTGCCTCCTCTAATGCTGGAGACATAAGGGGTTCCCCATGGCAGAGGTTGGCTGGCACAACTCCCAGTGTGGCTAACAGCCAGGAGCTCAGCCTTCTTCCCCTAGGAGGCTTAGGCTCCAACCCAGCACAGCAGGAAATACCTTTGCTGCTGCTGCTGGTGAGCTTCGCTTCCCAGGGAAGCCAAGCCTGGGAGACCTCCTGAGCTCTGTGTGTCTTGTGTCTGTAAGATGGCACGCAGGTTATTTTCAGTTGAAAATACACGTCGTCCCTGTGCTGACCCACTGCTCTGCTCCCAGGCCTATCTCATCTACTCCAGCAGCGTGGCGGCCGGGGCGCAGAGTGGCATCGAGGAGTGCAAGTTCCAGTTTGCCTGGGACCGCTGGAACTGCCCTGAGAGGGCATTGCAGCTCTCCAGCCACGGTGGGCTGCGCAGCGGTAAGGAAAGCATTGGATACCACTACTGGGACCCCCTTGCTACAGGTTAGAGCCCGTGGCCCCCCTCCTCTCTTCCCAAGTGCCTCCTTTACTTCCCCATCCCCACCTGGGATGCGCCTCTCCCAGGAATCCCTCAGAGGGATCTTTCCAGAAGACCCCTTCACCCATCAGCTCCCACACACACTGGGATCTAGCCTCAACACAAGGCAGCCTCTCAAAGCCAGCACCACCTCTGGACCTGCCAAACCCCAGCTTGCGCAGGACAACCTACACAATTGCCTTCCCACAAGGATGCACTGTCCTGACCTCCACATGGGCTGCTGGACATGCCATGCCTAGATGGTGTCCCAGGGTATCACAGGGAGGCTGAGAAGCAGCACAGGATAGTGGTGTGGCAAGCAGAGGGATATGGCTAAAGAGAGTAGGAAAGAGTTCATCAGTGGCTGTGCTCTGGCCAAGATACAGGAGAAAAGTCTTCTCATAGCCTCCAGATATCAGCATCTCCCTGGGCCAAAATCTAGCATCCTTGACCTGGGCCATTGCAGGGCATGGGGCTGTGGTCATTGTCACTGTATCCCATTCCTTACCTGTTTGCAGGCCAAAGGAAATATTTCAGTGCATATCTGGCTCTCTAGACCCATGTATGATGCTGGGCTGAGCTCATACCTGCCCTGTAGAGGCAGGACCTGGGTGTGGAGGAGAGCCTCAGGCCTCTGGTGGGACTGGCAGCAGGTTAAGGGACCAGGGCCCCAGGCAGAGGTGGACAGAGGTTTCAACGTGGGGCCTTGAGGAGAGAATTGCAGCTCAAGTCCCACTCTGGGACCCAGAACAGATTCCTGAATCATTCTTGTCAAGTCTGTCTGCTCAGATCCACACCTTGCTGGTATTAAATGAAAGCCAAAGGCTTGGTGAAATCAGCTGATGATCCCCACACCGATCCTGGTGGATAGGTATGGTCACTGCTCAGAGCCCTTCCAGCAGAAGGTAAGGCTCGAGAGGGCTGTCGGGAAGAAGCTCTTTGATCCTTGGAGAGGGCCCCTTCCCTCTGGTGTTAGTGAGAACTGGGGGACATTTGGCCATCTGTGCTATAATGCCATTGCTGAGCTCCCAAAGGACAGCCAGGTGCTATCTCACCCACACCCTTTGAAATGGCATGAGTCAACCTGGATCAAATTTGGGAGCTTCTGTCTTCATGCAGTTTAAGCCCAGACTAAGCTAATCTGACATGTAGGTCCTACTCTCCACCCCACAAAGCCCTCCCCACAGCAGACCTCTTCCAATGCACACTCCTGCATGGCAGGAGTAATTTCTAACAGTGGACTTGCTGTGAAATCCATAGCACATCTGCTCTCTTTGTGTTCCCACTTGACAGCGAACCGAGAAACCGCCTTTGTCCATGCCATCAGCTCTGCAGGTGTCATGTACACACTCACCCGGAACTGCAGCCTCGGGGATTTTGACAACTGTGGCTGTGACGACTCCCGCAATGGACAACTGGGTAAGGAAAGATGAGCTGCTGCCCCTTACTCACGTCCCAGGGGGCAGGAGAAGGTCTTCTCTGCTCTGCTGAGGCATGCAGAAACAACTCTGCTTCCTGGTCCCCACACCTGGAAATAATGCCCAGAGCAGAGCTTTGCCTGCTTAAAACCAAAGTGATTCTGAGGAATTTGGAAGTAAGCAAACCAAAGTACCTCTGTGGAAGCTAATTGAGGCACCTCCAATTTACACCAGCTGAGGCTAAGCCCTTGATGCTTTCCATTACTGTCTAAATAAGCAGGAAAGTAGAAGGAGTTGCAGTTCCCCTGGTTCAAATCAAGAACTCTATTCAAGCTGCTGGAGCAAATGATAGTATCATACGGGCAGAGGAGCGGATCTGATGCTTCTCAGTGGCGGTCTTGTTAGAGCGGTACTGATCAGGGACCTCGGGGCTCCCAGACTGCAGGACCAGGGTGGCCCCAGAGCAGAATGACCAGGTGGGAAAGCAAGGTGACACTCATAAACCTCTACAGCATTTCTCAGCATTGTAGGCACACAAGAGCACAACCAGGAGAACCACTGTGGCAGCACACAGCCTTCACACCATTCATGTCACAGTGGTACCCAGATCCTCAGCCACTAAGCACCCCGAATGTGGAACCCCAGCCTGCACTGCTCTAGCTCTCCACTCAGCTCTCACAGAAAACACTGACATTTAGGTTTTTTGTTTCGAATGGAAAGAGGTCAAATTTCAAATTATCAAAATCTTTTAAAAGCTATGCCCTGCCCAGCCAGTCAGTATGTGTTAGTTTATGACAAACTCTTCTAGAGTGTCCAGTAGTTAGTAATTCACTTTACTGGCTAATAGTTTTGAAAACAGCCACTGCTGCTTAGGTTTGGGAATGCCTATCTCTAGCAGAGAAAGACTTTTGGGCAATGACACACCAAATTTTATCTTCTCTGGAAAACCAAGGTAGTTATGCTACTTTTCCTTTCCCGCAAGCGTATCTGTTCTTCATGAAAATTTTCCATTGTGAATTAGAAGCTTGTAAGTCATAGGAAACTTTTGGGCGTGACCAAAACAGTGTGATTTAATTCAGCCATTGCACTGAATCCAAGTTGGTGAAAGGTTTCCATTCTCCCTTCAGTCCCAGCTCTTGATTTGGACTTCATCATCCACTGCAATTACCTACCTCCCACGAGACACTCCTACCTTTCCGTGGGAGAGGGGCTGCCCTGGGGAAGTCCGGGCAAGGGCCAGGCCTTTCAAGAGAGGCACAAGGCCATTAAACCACAACTCCCAAGATGTACTGCTAAGGCATTTTAGGGTCAGAATGTTCCAGATTTCAAATCTTCATAAATAACTTGGCATTTTTCTTTAGGAGTAAAAGAAGCAAAGTGTGTGACGTTTTTCCAGTCAGCCGAGCTAAGTTATCAAGCTCCCACGCAGTTAGGGAAAGTACCCTGCACATATTTTTGTGCAGCTTCACAGTTTTGTACTGACTCCTTTGTTTCTTTATGATAACTGGAAAATTAGACCCTTCTAAGATGCCAAATATCATCCCAAAAAGAGTGCCAAAAAGAGGGACTTCTCAATACATATGTGCCAGGCTTAGGCTGTTTCAGACAGAGGGGAATCTGTTCCCTCTGACCAGGATGCCTCGACCAGTTTGCTCATCAAAGTTAGCAAGGGGCTGTCCCTGCGAGTCAGATTGAAGGAGCTCAAGTCAGGGTTTGAGAGAAGGTGATTAAACACCCAAAGGCTTATCTGTATGGCTGCTAATGCATGATAATTGTCAGCTTCTGAATCCTGCTTTATAGAAAGCCTGGAAACCCCTGCATTTGTTGTACAGGACATACCCCTTTGCTGCCTGCCTGAGCCACGTTATGAGCTCCAGGGACAGGCATCTGGGAGTATCGTGAGGTCTGAATTTGCCCCAAAGCCTCCATTCCCTCTCATCACTTCTGATACCCCAGAGCCAAAAGCAAGGCAGGCAAGGGGCTGGTTCTCTGACAGCACACATCTCATCTCCTCTCTTAGGGGGGCAAGGCTGGCTGTGGGGAGGCTGCAGCGATAACGTGGGCTTTGGGGAAGCCATTTCCAAGCAGTTTGTGGATGCCCTGGAGACTGGACAAGATGCCAGAGCTGCTATGAACCTGCATAACAACGAGGCGGGTAGAAAGGTGAGCACCTCTCTCCCTCCAGACCCGACAGTGCATACCAGATTGGCTCTGGCCATTCACCTTGAAGAATTACAATTTGCTGTAGCTAAAAACACATATGCAGAAGAAACAACTTCTGAGGGGATGGCAGCAGTACAATGTGATGTGTGGTATTTGATCTAAGGTAGCAAAGCTTTGTGATTATAGTGATAATGGTTTTCTGCAGTCCTCTTTCTCCAAGTTTAAGGAGGAGAGTACTGTGGAAAAGCAAATCTGTGAGCTTCAGGACTATGGTGCAAGGAGGGTTGATGGCAAACTCCTCACAGGCCTGGAGCCATGATTCTGCATGCACTGCAGTAGATAAACAACCCTCTGGGCTTTTTCTTGAATCCCCTCTCTCTGCTCACTCTGTAGGCAGTTAAAGGGACCATGAAGCGGACTTGCAAGTGCCATGGTGTGTCAGGGAGCTGCACCACCCAGACCTGCTGGCTGCAGTTGCCCGAGTTTCGGGAGGTGGGAACTTACCTCAAGGAGAGGTACCACAAAGCTCTGAAGGTGGACTTGCTGCAGGGGGCAGGGAACAGTGCTGCCAGCCGGGGTGCCATTGCTGAGACCTTCAGCTCCATCTCCAAGAAGGAACTGGTCCATTTAGAAGACTCTCCTGACTACTGTCTGGAGAACAAGACACTGGGGCTGCTGGGCACAGAGGGCAGGGAGTGCCTGAAGAGGGGCAAGGCGCTCAGCAAGTGGGAGAAGCGGAGCTGCCGGCGGCTGTGTGGGGACTGTGGGCTGGCAGTGGAGGAGAGGCGAGCCGAGATGGTGTCCAGCTGCAACTGCAAGTTCCACTGGTGCTGTGCTGTGCGATGCGAGCAGTGCCGCAAAAGGGTCACCAAGTACTTCTGTGTCCGCAAGGAGAAGCGGGAGCGGAGCGGAGGTGGCGGGGCCAGCCACAAGCTCAAGAGAAAGCTCTGACTTGCTTCCATGGTCCTGCCTGCCCCTCTCCTCTCCTGCCCTACCCATCAGCCCCCGGCACCATTTCCGTTTGGCCTAGTTTTGTCTCATTCCCATTGCTGCCTCACTGGGGATTGGGCAAGGAAAAAGAGCGTTGTATGAGTCCCCAGGTCTTGGCCACACAAGGCATTAGTGCAGTGGGTGATGACTTCTGGGGAGACCTTCAAGTGTTGAAAAAACAAGGTGAGATTTGGTCCCTTCAACTCAGAGTCACTATCCAGTGTTGCTAACCGGTTTTATCTCTGAAAACACAGGAGGTGGCTCCTCTGCTTTTGTTTGATCCTCAAACAACCACCAACTCTGGGCTTTTGAGCAAGATCGACACTTAGGAAAGCACAAGGAAACTGAGATGACACCAACAGAGTTGGGCAACTCAGAGCAGTAATCCCTAAATGAGAAGAGGCTTTTAGTACCCTAAAAAATAGAGGCACTAAAATAAAGTTGTTATTGCCGAAGCCCTACACCATGAGGGAATAGAAGAGGCATGCAACTCCTTCCTGCAGAAAGCCAGAGTCCGGGAGACCCACTGCATCACTGTCCATCCTTGGACAGCTTTGGTAACCTCTCCAGTGCTTTACTTTGCATTTGAAATGGCAGCAACAAGACTGAAGCTACTGCTTGACCTGCCCATTAAACAGCTGTCCAAAAAAGGGATCCCATCACTTGTTTTTGACATGCTTTCTGTGTGTCTTCTAAGCCTTCAGGTCTGGTGTCCCTTTTTACTCCAGCATTCCTGCCAAAGCCCCTGAATGATGCCACAAAGATGCCCTCACACTTATTTCTGCAGTCCCTTTTTCCTCCTAAATCTCTCCTAGAGAGGAGCTGCCAGCTGAGCCCCTTCCCCACCTCCTGGTGTACTTGCCAAGCACTCCTACTCTGTCAGCTAACTAACTAAATACTTCCTCGTAGCCTGAGAAAATAATGTCAGTTACTATTTAAAGGTGGTGTAAATAGGAAAGTGAAGCACTTTGAAGTTTAATTTATTGCACAGTTACTGTGATGTATACATAACAATTTTTCCTCTACCGCTTATTGTATATATTCTATAGGCTAAGCAAGCAGCGGGAAGATTTGCATCTCTGTTCCCTTGGGGTAGGGAGTTAAGAAGCTGACAACTGCAGGACCTGGGGAAGCTCACTGCACCATCACAGCCATCTTCCCTGGGGCTGTGATGTTCTGTCTTCCTTCTTTGCTGCTTCAAGCGTCCTTTAGCCATATAAGCCAGCAGAGCTAAGTTACTGGCCATTAGACCTGTCTTATAGCCAATATTTGTAAACCAATAGCCAATGCAATAAATCAGTAGCCAAGTGCTTGCAAAATGCTGTCGTGTCTAAGTAGTTGGGTGTTCTTTCTTCCCATTGCATCTGTGGGTATTTGTAGTTTCAGTCCTGGAAAACCCCATCTGCTTACCCATCTGTTGAGCCCAGGAAGACCTGACCAGTCTACTCCATGCAGCACAACCTTGGGTTCTACCAGGAGGGGAAAGGGTGTGCTCTCTTCTCAAACTTTCTTGAGGGTGCATCCAACTGTAGTGCAGCTGCCAGGAGGAAATGGGATGGGAGGGGGTGGGCAGGCAGGAGCCCAGTTGCCCACTTCATAGCTCATATATTAGAGACACTCAGTCTGTATGTGTCTCTGTTATGAAATAGCCCCTTCATTATTGAATACTTTATTGGGAGTGGGAATTTAGACTTAGAGTCTCACCAGAGCAACAGCATTCATGTTAAGCAAGAATTTGGCCCTTCAAAAATTACAAGAAACAATCTTGGCCCATTCTCAGGGAAAACTGAAACACCTCCACTTCACACACAAACCACCAGCTATTTCTGCAGAGGTTCTTATTAATACAGTGACCCTGCCCTAGGTCTCTCTTGCATCTCTGTCAGCAGTTCCTTCGTCCCCCTGTGGTGGAATTGCATCCTTGGGCAAGGGAGCAAAGAGGTGGCAAGAGCCTCTCGCCCAGCAGGGAAAGCTCCAACACCGGCTGGCTTGAGGACCATGGCAAGGCAGAGAGAACAACGACAAGCCAGAGGACAACTTCTACCCTCTTTTCCTTCTCTTCCTCCCTCCCCTCCGTTCCACGGCCAGCTGGAAAAATAGGAAAAGAAGATGCGGAAGCCGTTTCCCTTTTCCTCCCGCTCCTACCCTGTCGCTCCCCTGCCGACACTGCTGCCCCACACAGTTGTCCCTCGAGGGCCGTGGCACAGCCCGGGATGTGCCCGCTGGGCGCGGTGAGGGCTGTTGGCGAGGGGGACGTGTGGGGCACCGCCAGTGCGAGCCCCATCGCCACACGCTGCTTCCGCTGGGGGAAAACGGCGACACCGCAGCTGCAAAATGTGCTGACCTCAGCAGCGGGTCCCCCCTCCCGGTGCAGGGAGCCCTCAGTGGTAAAGGCCTTGCTGCCATTGTGGGCAGGATTGGATGCTTCCATGTATTCATTTCGGTTTAATGAAGGCGCATTCCTCAGAGGAGAAATATTTACATTCAGCTTCCCAGGTGGTCACCTTCGCCCAGATGACACACAAACAGGCAGCCCCCCGCTCCCTTTTCCAATCCAAACCTCTTTAGAGGGCTCGGGAGGAGGGGAGAGAGGGGAGGGGGGCTGCTGTGGGAGCAGAATAGAGCAGGGAACAAAATGCTAATAAATCAGCCAGCCAGCCCTTTTCCCCTCCCCTCTGTGGAGTCAATGGAAAGTGTCATTTCACATGCTAATCCCCCTTCGATCTCTTTACAACACCTTTTCCGAAAAGTGTTTGGGAAAAGTCCTTGTGGCCCGTTTACAGCTCCCTGCCGCTTCAGATTCCTTCTTGTCTAAGGCCGCGGCCCCCGTGTGGGTCTCTCCCTCCAGCAGGGCTCCTTACAAAAAACATCTCAACAAAGACTTTGGAGTTCATCAGCCTCCCACTGAAATTCACAGCTGCTGAACAAACTAATCCCCTCTCTTGGCCTTTCTTCCTTTCAATGGGTTCTTGGCTTCAAAGACACTTTGGGAAAGGACTTTGTGGGGACTCACACTGCTCCCTCAATAGAAGTTAGTGCAAGCATTATCTTCAGAGCAAGTGGCTTTACAAACAAATACTGCCTAACAATCTCTGCCCCTCCAGCTCCCCCAAACACACACAAGCCTAGCCTGCAGACATGATGTTATCTGCGACAGGATTAGAGCTCTGTTCTCTGTGCCCAGGGATTCTTTCCTACTGCCTCCCACCGACCCCTCACCCCCCCCACAAATTCTTTGCCAACCCAAATGCCTTCTCACCCAACTGAAAATGGTTTCTCTAGTGCAGGGGTGCTGCGGCACCATATACCCACATGGGACGGAGCAATGCAGAGGGGCCGCTGCCTACAGACCAAAAGCTGTTAACAGCCAGCAGAAATAGCGCTGTAATTAGGGGAGCACCTTCCAGAGGGGTTTGAAGGATAACATACCACACCAGGGCCATAGAGACAGGGCTTCTGGCACAAGCCTGTCCAAAACTTTCAAGTGGGTCCCTTCACTTCCCCTGCCTGTTTTCCCTACCAAGAGCTTCAGGGATGGTGCTTCAGGGATAAACCTGAGCAAAAGTGAGCAACAGTGGGACAAAGGGGCAGGTGGGAAGAACTTGCAGCAAAGGCAGGATAAACAGCAAATCTCTGCACAAGTCTTGGGTAGCAGGAGCCGTGCGTGCTGGAGGGAACTAAAACGCATCTGAGAAATACACGGAAAAATCCATGCATATTTCTCAGTGGTAGAAATGGCCTGAGTTAAAGAGAGCAAGGGGCTGGACTGCACAGGGTGCTATAACTGGATCGAGAAAGGCAGGATCTAAGAAATGCCAGGCTTGTTAAATGATCTCAGAAGGCTGGGATTTCCCTTATATTCTCATTAAGCAAATGTATGCCACCTGGGCTACCTGTGTTACGACCCCTTCTGATGCTGCACAAGTGTAGCCTTTGAAAAAATCATCTTGCATCTCCCTGATGGAGGGCAGCTGTTAGGCTAGGCTGCTTGCTAACTGCTCCCAGAATAGGCTGCAAACGCTCTTCAAGACTCCTTCACACTTGGCATTAGCCTCTGCCAGCAGCAGTATTACAAAAGACTGGTTTTCCTTGAATGCTGTGTCCCTGACTCTCATAAATCCTGGTCCCTTCCCAGCAACAGCCCTTCAAATCTTCACCATCCAAACAGTCTTTCTGAGCCTTTGCTTCCTCCCAAATCCTCCAACCTCAGGCAGGTAATACAGTCCTGCATATTTCAGAGTTTTATGTGTGCTGTTGGGCAGGGCTGTATATATACCAGCTAGCTGACAGCAAAAATTAAAAAAAAAATAAATAATTGAGATTACATCAGAATTACTTTCTTTTATCAGAAGCTAGTTTGATTCCCCTGACTTTATCTCAGTTCTGACGTTTCACTTCAGCCTTCTTACCTCCTTAAAAGCTTAAATGAAATCAGCTACCAGATTTGCAAGTTATCAACTAATGGTAAGAACTGCCAATTCAACGGTGTAAATTTCTTCACAGGTCCAATACTCATCCTTGTTTAAGATGCATGGTTTCAGTGGTGTAACATTTATTTCCAAGGAGAAGATCTCATCAAGGGCTCTGTTTATTTACTGACATATTTCCAACTCTTGACCTCAAGTACAAAATCCCCAACAGTGCTGTGATTCCCCAAGAGAACATCAGCCAGTCTGGGGGCCTTCTTGTGTTTGATGCAGATGAACGGTCACGATTGAGGCAGGTGATCTGGAGAAGATCAGTTCTCTGACCTTGCAGTCTTAGGGAGTAGGTAAGACCTGAGGTCTCACCACAACAGGATGGATGCTGCCCACATCAGCAGAGCCCAGAATCTGGTTTGCCCCCACACAGTTCTCAACTGCCCCTTCACCAAAGCTGAGAACTCAGCTTTCAGTGGGTGGCCATGCAGACCGAGGAAGTCGCCTGCAGCCAGAGGTGACAAGTCTAAGAAAAAAAGAATCACAAAACACAGCTTTTATTTCACTGTTCTGTAATCTCTCAGTGCATCAAACCGCAGCAATAGAAACAACACAGCAGCAACAAGGAGGCACTTTGACCTGGAAAGGAGAGAATGAGACACGTCCTCTTCCTCCTTTCTCTGATTCTCCTCCCTACTTAGACTGGTAGAGTAGGCTGATTCATGTACTGATCCACAGGCCCATGATAGCGTTATCACTCAAGC